GAGAATGACGTGGATGCGAAGAAGGAGGAGCATGACGACGACGACGACGAAAAGCTCGACGACGACGACGCCGAAGGCGCAGGCGGATCAGGAGGACTCGCGAACACGCTTAGGAGCCACCTTGGCTCAAAAAACGCTGTGGGGATGCTGGACCCTGGCTGTTTATATATATATATATATATAGACCATCCTGGGCCTGGCGAGGGCCCCTGGACACCGAAAACGAAACAACAGCCTCCGTCTTGACTTGTTCAAGACGCTGCATACCTGGGCCTCCTCTCGGGGGCGGCCAAACGAGGGGCGTTCAAGAAGGGGAGTCGCAGATCATGGCCGGAGGCGAGTGCGCGGACAAAGGGGTAAGGGGGGGGCAGGGGACGCACTGGAGTACAGCCGTCGTGCTACCACAAGGGACGCAGAGTAAGGAACGAATGGGCGTTTCTGGCCTCGGCGGGGCCAGGCCACAAGCAGGCTCCATGACAGAGGTCTATAGGGCGGCCCGAACACCCGAGCCCCTCCTGGGCGGCAATCGGTCCAACTTCAGCGTCTTGACTGTAAGACTTGGGCGCCACTTGATGGGGGGACGATACATGGGGCGGGAAGAAAGGTGCCCTTTTCGGGTCCTCAAGGCTCTCTTCTGGGCCCAACAGGACCCCTTTTTGTTGCACGTCGCTTGTTTCTGTGCCGAGTTATGAATACAGCTCTTTGTGGAGTCGAATGCATTGTGCCGTCGCTTGGACAGTTCAGAAAACTGGAAAAAAGCGATTGCGGCTTTAGGCAGACCAGGCATTGTGCTGTAAGACGAGCTGGGAGGAAGATGGCCGTATTAGGTCGATTACTACGAAAAGGGTGCTACAATATTCGCATGTTCCTGAGGTGATGGTGGAAATACGTGTCCATCGGCTTCACTGGTTACAAACTCTCTTCTCTCGTCCGCAGTCTCATCCGCAAGTGCTCGCCGCGTGGTGCTGGGTGTTCCATTTCGGGTATGACTTTGTCAGGGATGGGCTAGGCCAAATGTATGTTGATCGAGCGGAGCCTTCCATTGTCTTCGACGGGGGCGGGAGAGTGAAGGAGGTGGCGGACCCATCGGCCAGGAGAGCTGAGGAAGACACCCTAGAATTATGCGAGAAATCGGAGAGGCTTGGAACGTTTAGGAGGAGGCGGGGTCGTTGATTTGTGGACTTCTCATTCATGTTTGCCCGTATCGATGTCAGTATCCTAAAGGCCCCAGGCCCTTGGCGTAGGGGTTCCTCCTCCTGGGGTTGCCGTCGGTTGCGACCTGCGGAGGGGGGCAGGGGCTTTACTTACCGAACGTATGCATTGCTGTCACTTTCTAACTTGCTGACGGGGGGCACTGCTCTGCTACGTTCAGCTCACGTTCGGGACTGATTACACATGTACGTACTGTGCACAGGCATTTGACGGTGGCCCAAGCAATCACTCTCATAGATCAGTGCGTCTGCTACGGGAAGGTGTTTTTCAACAGACACGGGGCCCGGCCCGTCGTCACCCCACTCGTGCTCTGAGAATTAGGTATTGCTCGCAGGGGAAGGCGTCGACGATTTGATGTACGTATGCCAACCGTATTCGATTCTAAGTTTGTGGATCTAAGTTTGGGAGTCTGGTGGAGTATCATACACACGCTCGCTCTGATCTTCCCATCGTGCCGGCCGTCCAGCCCGTACGACATGGCCGACGCCGACAGAGACTTAGAGCTGGCGCTGCACCCGTGGACAGGAAGCGTGCAACACACACGTCGGCCAGATGGAGACGCCGCCGAGGTATCGCAAGCAAACGTAAAAGCAAAAGAAAACGGTCAGACAAGGACGGGATCGCTGGCAGCGCGTCTCTCTGATGACGGCAAGGGGCATTGCGCTGGTGGAATGGGATGCCTGTGCCGACACTTCTTGATGGAGGAATCGACGTGGCAGGTGGAAGCATCGGCTACACGCAAGAGTGACCCTGGGTAAGAGTGACCTTTGGTGCGCAGATTTTGGGGGGCCGCGGGGAGACCAAACCTGGGCGCGCAAGCCGCTGCTGCCGCTTCGTTGTCAGCCATCTGAAGGCCCATCTGTGCCCGCACCAAAGGTCACTCCGGCGAAAGGTCACTCTTACGTCTAGTCGAAAGCAGGGCATGCAGAACAACAAAGAGCACAACGCTGGTGTCGACGAGAAGTTGAAGGCGGCCAAGGTGGAAGGGAAACCGTGGACTTCGGCGACCTCGGCCCGCCGTTCTTAATAGGACTGCGAGGTCTGGAACTGGGCCTAGAACTTCAGTGCGACTTGGTCCCGTTGTTCTCTTGTGGCTCTCTGTTCTTAATTTCCTCTGCTACATTTCGTCCAGTTGTTCCTGACGTACAACACACCCCTGACGGTGTACAACGCAATGATGCACGAGGCGAAGCGTTGGGCCGAGGGCCAGGCGACACAGGTGCTGAGTGACATGACGGTCGCAGGTGCAGCTCGCCAGCTACGCGAAGCACTTCCAGATCTGCCAACCCAAGGGTTATGTTGCTCCCAGCGTACTTAAGGACCATATCTCAGAAATGATTTCGAGCACCCAGAACAATATCGAAACAATGTCGAATGAGTACCGCCTCGCAGGACGGCCCGACGCGTGAAAACCCTCCGGTTTCGGTACTTTCCTTGGTGCTCGAAATTATTTCTGGTGATCAAGGCTGAAGTAGGTTGGAGCATCATAACCCAAGGGCCAGAAGTCCAAGAGGATGGAGGGCAAGGCAAAGCTCGTCATGCGGTCCGAGGAGCACCTCGAGTCGGGAAGAGCGGCGGTACAAATCCTGGGGCAATCCTCGTCGAGATGAAAGCGGACGAGGTGATCGGATCGGCACCGCGTGGGAGGGAGGAGCGCGAGATTTCGGCGGCGCTCAACAAGAACTGAAGCATGATGATGAACCTGTATAGACAAGCGCGTTCCACTACTCGCAAAGTAGCTGCTCGCAAAGGGCCTGGATCCGCCTAGGGGAATTTACGATCCACCATTTCGAGGCAAGCATGTGTTTCCGACGTTTTGCGAATAGGCACTTTGCGAGTAGTGGAGCGCGCTCGGTGACTGTGTACGGATGGTCGGGATCGTCTGATGGTGGTGCATTGCTTGGTTTGGATTGATCAGATTTACCTCAGGTATCTTCGGATGACCCAATTCCCCAATGAGAGCTTGCCTCTGTAGGGGTCCTAGCGGATTCGTATGGTTAGGTGACGTATGGCGCCGATTTCGGCGGCACGCCCGGTAGCCCTATAGCCCTTTAGCCCTATAGCCCTAATAGCCCTATAGCCCTACAGCCCAGTAGCCCTATAGCCCTATAGCCCTATAGCCCTAATAGCCCTATAGCCTTATAGCCCTATAGCCCTATAGCCCTATGGCCCTATAGCCCTGTAGCCCTATTGCCCTATAGCCCTATAGCCCTATGGCCCTATAGCCCTATAGCCCCATAGCTCTATAGCCCTACAGCCCTATAGCCCTATAGCCCTATAGCCCTATAGCCCCATAGCCCTATAGCCCCATAGCCCTATAGCCCTATAGCCCCATAGCCCTACAGTCCCAAAACGATTATGATTGGGGCTTGCATATACCTCAGCTATCTTCGGATGACCCATCGTCGGCCTTGAGTGTGAATGCTGGATGGCTATCGCGTATGAATCGACGGCAGCGCCCCAGATTTTGTTTAGTTCTGATTGCCCTGAGGATTCGGTTGATGAATTGATGGCTTGCGGTAGCAAGGTTCCTACAACCAGGCGAGATCTCCCCAAAAGGGCCGGTAGACAGAACTCGTCTCCAGAATGTTCCGGCAGAGCTGTGCCAGAAAGTTCTGCGAACAACTCGCCGTCTTCCAGCGCACATACGTCCAGGCCCCCGCCCGTCATGAGTGTCGCAGAGGGTTGGCGACTGAGCGAGAGGCGCAGTTAACACTGAGCGGAGGAGGTATGGTGAGGATCCAGCCGCCTTCCGATCATGGGAAGGGGAGGGGTCGTGGGGATCGTCTTGGTCGTGGGAGTGGGGGGCAGGATGGAGGGAAGGCCCGTGGCCGTGGAGTTCAAAGCAGAGCTGCCAGACAGTTGAGCCCGTCAGTTTTTGTGGGGTGTTGCCCAAGGAGCGCACCGAGGGGCATCCCCTTCTGAGGGGCCGCCCTAGGATCCCGTTGGGGGCATTCACCCCTGCTGGGGCCCTGACACTGTCACGATTGGGGTTAGTTAGGCATGCGCCTGCGCAGGGGCTTAAGCTGATGGAGTCAGCCGTGAGTTGACTGACGTCCGTAACTTGTTCTTGCCTCCAGCGGTTCAAGATCAAGACCAAGATGCTCGAGGACGGCGGCCGGGCCCAGACATCCGACGTCGCGGTTTCTCCGACGTACGGGGTCAACCGAAGTTCCGACCCCTCCTCCAAGGCCAGCTTACTGCTCCGAGCGGGTGCTCGACGGTCCTTGAGGAGCGGAGCGAGGGCCCCCCGACGCCGAAACCGGTTAAACCATCCGTCTTGGTTTGTTCAGTACGTCGGATGTTTGGGGACGATGCTCGACTAGATTCAGCCCAGATGGGGATCGAACACATGGGGTCGGAGGATCGCGCCACATTGCCAATGCATCGGCGATGCTTCGTCGACGTCGGCGGTGCATCGGAACCGTCGCGTGGAGAACGTCGGGCTCCACACCGATACGCATCGCCGATGCATCGGCGATGCGGCGCTATCTTCCAGCCCCATCTACTCCGACCCCACCTGGGCGAGTGAGCAACGAAAAAAAGAGTTTCACGCGAGATGGCATAGCGACCGTACGCCGCAGCTTACGCGGGCCGCCAGCGCGGCACGCCACATTGGAGACGATGGCGCTTACGCGCGAGCTGACGCGGGCAGCCTGCGCACCAATGTCGGCGCAGGAAACACTTGTTTTTTTCCGTTGCTCCTCTTGGAGGCTAAGAGTTCAGTGCGTCGGATGTCTGGGGACCATGCCATGCTCGACGGCGGCCAGGGACGCCCAATGCCCCTCCCGTCGATGACGTCGCAGGAGTGCGCCGCCCGGGGCCCAGGGCACCCCTGGGCCGCGCAAGGCGGGGACCGCCCTCGCCGCCGTCCCTTCGTAGGCTTCCGCACGTGCAAGCAGCATGGGGAGACACATGATACAAATATCACTGAATTTTGTGTCACCGTAGTTTTTTTGGTTCAGGCGCCCGGGAAGGCGTAACCACGGCCTCACGTCCCAACGCGTGAGGCGCCGAACCTCTGACATATCGTAGCCTTGAGTCGTGATGCAAAAAAGTTTGGGGACCGCCCTCGCCGCTGTCTTCCTTGCCGTCGGTCGCCCTCGTCGGCCTCCCACCCTCGCCGCCGCGGCTCGCCGCCGTCCTGGCCGCCGTCCTCGCCTGGGAGAGCAGAAGCAAGATCATGTCGGCGGCGCGCCCAGGGGTGAAGGCAGAGGCGGCGGGCCTTCTCAGAAGGCTCAGGTGGACCCTGGCCTTCTGAAAAGCTTTCTGAGCCTTCTGCGTGGCCGCGCAAAGGGCTTCCCAGAAGGCCATCATGACAAACTCCGCCGCCTTCTGAAAAAGGCATGCCCCCTCTCTCACTTCCTCCGTCGGCGCCCCGACGGAAAAGCAGTGTCATTGGCACGCCGCCGCGGAGAACCAATCAGCGTGCTGCCGTTGAGGAAACGTCAGGCCGACTAGCAAAAACAAGAAGAGTACCACGCTGATGGGCTCTCAACTGCAGCGTCTCACTGATGTGTGCTCCCTCTCTCTCTCTCTCTCGTTCTCGTTCTTTCTCTCTCGCTCTCTCTCTCTCCCGATCGCCCAACTCCCCCACCAGGCACCGACGGCAGGCATGGGCCATGACCATGACCAGGGTCGACGACATCCAGTGGCATCTTGGTCATGGTCGTGTTGTTCCCTCGATATGCGATTTCGATGCACTCTGCGGCTTTGGAATTCCAGACCCGTTCCCCGGCGGCGGCTTTGCGCCACGGGCCCGCTCTTGATGGCCCCGGGGCCCGAGAGCGGTCCCCGGAGGCCGAAGAAGAGGAACAGCACGCCGCGACAGAGAGACTACGCATCCTGGCCGTCTGGGCCCCACTCCTCCTCCTCCTCCTCCGCGTCTTCTTCTTCCTCCTCTTCTTCCTCCTCCTGCTCCTCTCCCTCTGCCTCCTTCTTCTTCTTCCCCATCCACCTCCTCCTCCTCCTCCTCCTCCTCCTCCTCCTCCTCCCCCTCTTCCTCCTCCCCTTTTTCCTCCCCGACCTCCTTCTGAAAATATGATAGGAGCCTTTTCCTCCGAAGAAAACAATACTTGAAACAAGCGTCGTCGGCGGGGCAAAGCCGACTTTCCAGGAACCCGAACGTCACCCGAGCGCACCATTCTCACTCAATCGTACCGCTATGTGCAAACACCCCCCCCCAACAGTCAATTTTGGCAGCATGAACGACGGCGGGATGACAACAACAAGCAGACTGGGTAACGGAAGTGTTCGAAGCCAGTACGCAGGGTAATGATGCTAAGTCCAAAGATCAAAGATTCGCAGGCCCAGCGGGCCAGAGGCGTGCTGAGATCTCCAGTCGCAATAACATTACAACAAGATCGCGCGCGCGAGGCGACCCCTGGGGGCCCCGACGCGACAAGTACCCCGCCAAAATCCTGACAAGTGCCCGTCAGAGATGCCGGAACCCCCCCAGACGGCCCAAGAGGCGTCCAAGACGGCCTTAAGAGAGCGCCCGGACGGTCCAAGAACCCTTGGAGTCCTCGAAAGATCGGCCGACGATGCCCCAAGATTGTGCCAAGACGCCCACCATGAGTTTGGAAGGGGTCGGGAGGCCCAACCAGCAGCTTCGCCTCAGGCGAGGCCAAGCTCCAGCTCTGTTGTACCGTAGTAGCGATAGTCATCTCAAGCAGTTTTGGTATCGATGGCAAATAGTACACCTCGCACTGAGGTTTAGTCAGATCTGGGCGGCCGGCTGCTTTGAGCCAAACAACCGCGGATGCACGCTCGTTCCCACTCACATGCAACGCCCAGTTCATTTTAGAGTTTGGGGGGAAGGAGACGAGGCGTGGATCCGCCGCCTCTGTACAGCAGGTACAGCAGCGAATATTTACAAAAAGGGCAGCAAAAGGGCGGGGCCGTAAGGAAGGTGGACCCGCGCGCAAGTTGCCTTGCCTGCACTATACCGTGCATACGAATACTCCTAAGGCGGCGACAGAACGAGATGCCTGGCCAGCCCAATGGGGATTATGACGCTTTAAGTCATGTTTGAAGGACGGTTTACCTCCAGTGACCTGTAGGAGCATTTCTCTGTCGATGCTCCCCTTGGTGTGACCGTCCGCAGTCATATCGCGGGTGTCGCACCAGTGAATACTGTGCACGATTCCTCGCTCCATCATCTGTCGTATCCAGCTGATGTGCCCTGACAGGGTACGCTCAGTCGGCTTCTTCAGGTCTTTGCTTGACAAGGACTTAAAAACCGACTCCGCATCAGGCCACCCAACTCAAGTATGTATTTCAATTGAGTGGCAGTTAGCGGACCTGCGTGGAGCTCGCGCAGAGTCACGATCGTGGGATAACAGTCCTCCAAATTGTGGGCAGCTGCGGGTGTCTCTGCTGAATAGCGCGGGCGGACCTGCAAGCGGTGAGACTTGCAGTGCGCACCGGTCAAATGAACGACGGGCTTTCCAAATGGCGCGCCCCCGCGCCGAAGCAGGTTTGCCCCGCGAATGCCATGGCCTTTGACTTCGTCATCGGCGTCTCCACTCAGGCGTCGGTAACCTGAGTCACAGCGCAGGTCAATCTCGCCCCTAGGGATCATCGCCTGGTAGACGGTCTTCTTAGGGCAGGCCTGCAATTTCCTGGTAATCGCGCTCAGTCGCCGCACTTGAATATTGGTCGGTTCTTGGACACGCTGCAGAGCAACAACATGCGCCATCAGCCACACCTGGGTGATTAATGCATATGCCAGTGCGCCTCTAAGGCTGACGAACATGTCTGCAACCATCTTGGATGCCTGAGCGTCAGCGTCGACGCCAGTGAATTCAAGGATGTTGTATAGGACGGTGCTGCTTGATGTATTCGTCTTGGTCCGAAGTAACACTGTCGTCCTCGTCCTTGGTGCGTATCACAACACAAGTGGTGCATGTGTGCTTGTTGAGTTTACACTTGCCAAAGATGTCTTCTACGCGCTTGACGCACTTGTCAATGGTGCCCGCAGTGCCGGCCATATTGATATCACCAACATGTTTGGCCGTGAGCAGGTTTCTGCTCGCCTCGAACTCCTCGTCGCAGAACGGGGGCCTGAGACCAAAACCTCTCGTGGTCCGTCTGAGCTTTAGTGATGGAGCGCCGGGTGCGTCTCTGGCGCGAGGCACTGCAAGCAGTGCTTCGACTCGTCGCAGCGTTCGAATCCCAGGAGAGTTCGAAGCACCGCGGCCGATCCAGGCGGCAATGTAAAACACACAACACGCTCCTTTTCACCAGTTGCTTCAGCAAGTACCTGGTAGGTCAACCCTTTCAGGAGAACCATGTTGATGTCGAGGGGGCCGATGACCCATTGCTTCTTGCACGCTGCCGTGCTCGCGAGTAGCTTCTGGCTTGGCCGCCGTGCTGTCGCCGAAAAGGTTTCCGCGTCAAAGGCTTCAAAGTCCATGGTGCCTCGAAACACCGAACGCAATCTGATGGCACGTTTCATTTCGCCCTTCCCGTTCTTCATAGACTTCCTTTTGTGCACATATCTGGAAATCATGATGTTTGACGCTTTAGATACGCCTTGGCTTGTTAAGCGCTTGTTGTCAAACCATGTCTTGAAAAACGGTGTATAGGGCATTCGATACTTTCTCAGGGTTCGCCCGGATGTCAGCCTCCGCGAGGAAGTCGCCTTCCTTGACGGCCACAGCTCGCTTTTCAGCGGTGGCAACATATACCCGCATGGTGGCCACACGGTCGGCATGGAATAGTCTGTGCTATTGTTCGAACAAGACTACCTTTGACATTTTTGCCGTGAAGCGGAGTTCAGCAGGTTGTTAATTCTGGTTTGAGTCCAGTCCATAGCCGCAATCTTCGACCGTGAAACACAATGGGACATGACGCGCCTCCTCGATGTCGGCGTCGCGTGGGTGTCCCCACTTAGGCAGGTGCCCCCGCTGCTCTTCAGCTACAGTGATTAGCCGACTGTTGTCTGGAATCATATGCGCGGGTACTGTGGAAAGATCCTCTAGTGGAGTTGCCTCCAACATTTCCCTCGCATCTTGTAGTTCTGTATGCCGTTCTGCATGCCGCACTTCCATAACGCGTGCCTCGAGGTCAGCCTCCGATTCCTCATAACTCGTAGAAAGCCTTCCATCCTCGTGTGGTGGTTCGCCTTCTGAAGCTTCTCTTGCGCTTCCATCCGGCGTCGGTGCATCCGTCAATTCCTCAAGCATCGTCTCATCCTGGCCAAAGCCCGCTCGTGGTTTGGTGGCCTTCAGGCACTGGATGTCTCTAGGATGTGCTGATCCAGTTGTATCGTGTTAAGAGCGGTGCCTTCTGCTTCATAATAGTGCAACCCTGGATTAACATCGTTGTCATAGTGGACCAATGTGCAACTGTCAGAACAAGCAACCATATGTAGCTCATGGATACTCTTGGCTAACCTGACCGAAACTACGCTCTCAATGCGGAGGAATGTTCTGCTAAGGCATTGCACTTATCATCTGAAGCATCCCCTTCTTGGTCGGGACATAGCCACATGTCACAGCAGGCCCCCCGGCAGGCAAACTGGCCACGAACGTCAACGCTGTCCGTAATGCAGCGCTGTCGGAGCCAATTTCTCTGGCTATCAAAGCATCAACATAGCGTGAATGTCGTGCATCGCCGCATTGTACCTGCACGTCGCGGCTTCCCATTCGAACGATGACTTGACCCCTCTCGGGATCTTGCGACTGGGAATGGGCCATTCCAGCCTCCCCAGTCGTCCTTCGTGGTTGTGGGGCGACGGTAATCAACTGAGTCTCCCTCATTGTAGTAATCATGACCGGCGACCGTGTTAGTGCGTAATGCCTGTTTGGTCGTGGCTACTGCAGTGGCCTG